CCGCCTGCTCTCGTAGCACTCACATTCTACGAGTGTGTATGCGCAGGAGGCGGGCAAGAAAGAAATGAATAAGTACCATAAATAGTATTTCAGTTCATGGTTTAGGTTTGGCGGGAAAAACAGGGAAGGAGGGGTATCTGAGGGTGGGGACATGGCGGCGTTGGCAGTTTTAGAAAGGGTGGCCAGGGACAGCCTCTCTGAGGAGCCGACGTTGGAAGGAGCGAGGGAACAGGAAGCCTCGTGGTTCTCCGGAGGAAAAGCATTTCAGAAGAGGGAATAGCAAGTGCGGTGGGCCCGAGGCAGAGCCTGCCTGTCACGTCTGAGGGAAGCTGGCGACATCGGAAGGACCTTGGCTTCTACTCCAGATGAGATTCGGACACGAGGGGTTTAAGCATCGGAGTGGCAGGACTTCAGGAGAAGCGGGATAACAGCAGGGAGATCGTTAGGAACCTTATTCATCGATTGGACCGGAGTGACAGTGACGGAGAAGTGGGAGATTCTGGCTGTATCTTGGAGAGAAAGGACATACGCACCCGGGAGAAGACCATGTGAAGGTAGAGGCAGGGAATTATGCCGCCTTAGGAGCGTAAGGAGTGCTGGGAGCCACCAGACTGGAGGGACAACATGGGATCCTCCCGGAGAGCGTTTGGAGGAAGTGTGGCCCTGCTGACACCTTGATTTCAGACTTTTGGCTCCAAAACTGAAAGAAAAAGTTTTTTTTGTTTTTGTTTTTTTAAACCACCAAGTGTGTGGTCAATTTTTATGGCAGCCCTAGGAAGCTAATACTGATGCTGTCAGACATCGATGTGGAGATGTTGATGTGACCAGTGAATTTGGATTTCAGGGAAGAGATCTGGGCTGGACATCAACACTGCGCGTCTTTAGTATAGAGGTGATGTTTAAAAGCAATGGGGGGTGGATGAGATCCCTCAGAGAAAGTGTCTCCAGAAGAGAATGAGTCCAAAGACCAAGTCCCAGGGCTCTCTTATGTTCAGAGGTTGGCAGGTGAGGAGGATTTAGGAAGACCAGCTGGTGAGCTCACTGGGCAGAAGTCTGGGTGGAGCGGGGTGGGAGGAGCCCTGAATCTTTTTCCCTTTCTGAATATCAAGGGAAGGAATGATGTATTGAGTTAGAGACCTCCTATTTCTACAGTGCTCAGTTAGCTTTTGTTCTATGCTAACTTCAGATGTCTTCTACCAGGGAACATTTTACATCAGGGGAGGACAAAAGGATAGAGAGGACCTTTTGTCCTGCTCAAGAGTGAGCCTGGACAGCTGCCAGGATATTCCTGGAGGAGCCAAGAAGCTATGTCTTCAGTTTTTTTCTCAGTGCAAAAGAGAGAATACACCAGATCAGAGGAGGAATTAGAATCAATTAGAGCCCTGGCCAGTTTGGCTCAGCAGTTAGAGTGTCGGCCCATGGACCTGAGAGTCCCAGGTTTGGTTCCCGCTAAGGGCACATACCTCGGTTGCAGTTTGTCCCCGGCCCCAGTTGGGGTCATGTGGGTGGTGACCACTTGATGTGTCTCTCTCACATCGATGCTTCTCTCTTTCTCCCTTCCCTCTCCCTCCCGCTCTATCTGAAGATAAATGCAAAAAAAAAAAAAAAAAAAAAAGAATCAATTAGAGAGATACAGTCTTTCAACTAGTCATACCAGGTTGAGACTAGAAGGGGCTGAATTCATGTGATAATGTGTGTGCAGGCTCAGCATAGCAGCTCTACATAAATGGATGAGCAACTTAAGGTAATTATTATTAGTTAATAGCTATTTTGTAATCCTAAGCTTTCATTATACAGATAAGGAAATTGAGATTCAAATACTATTCAGGAAGCAGCAGTAATTCCCTTAAGCTATACAGAAAGAAAGGGAGATCAGGGGAAAGTTTTTAGTTTCCCACCCAAAGCCCTCTGCTCTCTGGTTCCCACTCCCACTTCCATCCCCTCTTCACCCACTGCTCCCTTTCCTGACCCTCCGCAGTGCCTCCAGGCACCTCCCTGTCCTCTGTGCATGCCGTGGGTCCCTGTAGATTCCCTACTTTCCCCACGAGGGCTTGCTTGCAGTCCCTCCCACTTCCCTTCTCCCCGTGTGCAGGTCTGTGCGCATTTTCAGGGCTCTAATAACAGCACCTGTGCATTCTTTCTGCCCCATCCAGCCATATCACTCTCTTTGAAATTCTTTAGTATGATTCCCAGACACTACCTCGGGGGCGGGGGTGTAGGGGCGCTGCATGCGTGCGTGTGTGCGCGAAGCAGTCCAGGGGCTGTGTGTGTGTGTGTGTGTGTGTGTGCACACCTTTGAGTTCTTGGGCAGAAGACAAGAACCATCGTTTTTGTTTGGCTGCTGCCCTGATGCCCTGCTAACAAGAGTCTGTGTTGGGTCTGGTGTGGTCTTTGTGACATTTTGCCATCATTTATTACCTTATAAGACTTTAAACGTGGACCCCTCTCATGATATTATCGAAATTAAAATAGCCACTTCTAAAAATCAAAAACCTTAGTTCTTTTGGTAAGGCTTTTATTCTCCTACTGAAGTTATTGCACTAGGATAAACTCAAGATAACCCAGGCAAAGACAAAATTGATCTCTCGCCAGAAGGATACTGATAACAGCGAAGTGCCTGCAGGAACCGGTCTCTGTTCAGGTGGGCACTTTCTTCCTTCAAGGGCTGAGAAACAGCGGAGCGTCCTCGGTGACAGGAATGAAGGGTTTGTCCACTTGCATTTGCCTTTGCTCTTCTCTCTAAAATTGTATTTACCTTGTCAATAGACAATCTAGATTGTCTTCCTCTACCTTAACATGTGTGACAGTAATAATTACTGTTAGGACGAGTTGTATTTATTTCTTAAATTCTTAACAAAAGTTGCAGAATTGGAACATCTGGGTCCAAAGTACAGTCTCAACTCTGACTAAGGCTCATAGTATAAGAAACATAAATTATGCTTCTGTTTATATTTTCACTGTCATAAGTTATTTTTATATCAGACTTTTTATCTTGTGTTCCATAAAGGTATTCATTAAAACTTTGAGGGAATGGATACATGATTTTATTATTTTTATATAATGAACATGTATACATGTTTTTGAGTAGATGCATGTTTTCCGTCTCTTGGATACAGTCCTGGGAGTGAAATTGCTGGATCATATGGTAACTGTATGTTTACAATCCGAGGAGCTGCCAGACCTTTTTCCAAAGCAGCTGCACCATTTTGTGTTCCCACCAGCAGTGTGTGAGGGCTTTCTCTACATCCTTGCCAACACATGTTATTATGAGTGTTTTGGATTATAACTATCTCAGTGGCTGTGAAGTGGTATCTCAGTGTGATTTTGATTTGCATTTCTTTGATGGCTAATGATGTAGAGCATATTTTAATGTGCTTATGGGCCATTTTTATATCTTCTTTGGAGAAATGCTTAAGATCCTTGGCCAATTTTATATAGGGTTGGTTTTTTAAAAATTTGTTTTGTAAGACTTCTATATATATTCTAGATACTAGTTCCTTAACAGACATATGATTTGCAAATACTTTTTTTATGATGTGGGTTGTCTTCTCCCTTTCTTTCTTTGGTTTTTAAAAAAATTCATCTTTATTGTTGAAAGTATTACAGATGTCCTCCCCCTCTCTTCCCCCGTTGACCCCCTCCACGCTGCCCCCGCCCCCGCAGGCCTTTGCTGCACTGTTGTCTGTGTGAAGCACAAAAGTTTTAAATTGTGACATCGTACACTTTTTTTTTCTTTTATCATTTGTGCTTTGGGTGTCATATTTAAGAAACCATTGCCTAGCCCTGGCTGGTTTGGCTCAGCGGTTGGAACATCGGCCTGTGGACCAGAGAGTCTTGGGTTTGGTTCCCGCTAGGGGCATGTACCGAAAAAAAAAAAAAAAGAAGAAGAAGAAGAAAAGAAACCATTGCTTAATCTATGGTCATGAAGATTTTACCTATGTTTTCTTCTAAGAACTTTATGGTTTAACTCTTACATTTAGGTCTTTGATCCATTTTAGTTCATTTTGTTCTCTTCTTAATACTGTATATTGCAAAATTGGTTTTCAGTATTATAATCTTATTAACAAATACTATGTGCAAAGGCATTTACCCTTCCATATCAATATCTAATTCGAACCTCAAAACTGCTTTATACGGTGACTAGTATTAGATTCCTATTTTGTAGGTGCCTCTGGACATTTATGCACATTGTTCTCTGCCTAGAAAGACACTTTCCTACTCCTTACGTGCCACCCTTTTCTCTGCTAACTCTTCCAACACAAAGCTTCCTCCAGGAGGCCTTCTGTTATCCTCCAGCACACTTCCGTAGACGCAGTGGTTCCCCACCACGGTGCCAACTGTACTGCACAATAAACAGTTGCCTATTTATTGTCTGTTTCCTCTCCCATACTGGCAGCCCTGTGAGTGGGAACTCGCTCTTTCAAAACTGAATTTCCAGCTTCCAGCAGAGTGCCAGGATCTGTTGTTCATGGATGAATCAGATCATACAGCTAATAACTTGAACTTGGTTTTTTTATCATCTACATTCAGTTTTCTCAATGATACCATGCTGATCCTCTAGGAAGTCGTCTGAATCATCTGTCCTGATGGGCGTGGCTTTGTCTCTGAGTGCAGTAGAATGCTCGTGGTATCTGCTCTCTGCACTGTGCTGCAGGCGCCTTTCTCGTGCTGGCAGTGTGGCATGTGTGTATGCATGTATGACACACGTATGCATGCGTGCACGTGCTTGTGTGTGTGTGTGTAATGGACTCAACCTTGACTTGTTCCCCAAAGGACTTCATGCTACCTACCACGTTGCAAGAGCCTCCTGCTGGTCCTTTTGTAGTTTCCCAGTAACGTCTTACTGGAGACAGGGTCACAGACAGAGTCCTCCTTCCTTTTGGCAGATGCTAGAGATGGGCACTGGACCATGTTCAGGATATAACGTGAAGTTGATGAAGCTGAATCCAGAGTAAATGTACACCACAGTTGTAATCATTTTGTTCCTGCTTCTCACATAGACCCTGCTGGTCAAGGATTAGGTCCTGGGATGTAAAGGTGACTAATCCATGCCTCTGCTTGCATGAAGGATACAATTATTGAAGACGAGTCATGAACACAGATGCGATCTACCGAAGCAGGGTTAGTGCTGCAGCAAAGACAGGAACAGGATGCTGTGGGGCCTGACAAGCCCAGCAGCTGCTTGGCCTGGAGGCATTTTGGGAAGTCATCATGGGTGAGCTGGATTTTGAAAAAAGAGGAGTTTACCAGATGAAGAGTGGGAAAGAAATACACAAAGACACAAATTGATGGAATATCTGGTTTAAAAATGAATATATATATGGCAACAAAATGGAAAGAAATATTCCCAAGTGAAGAGTTGAGTAGTTGGTGTTTTATGTTTGTAGAAATATAGGTAGGTTTCTTTTTCTTTTTTAGAATTTCTTTTAATATTGTTACCCTACTGTTTTTATAACTAAAAATGAAATAAAAGCTTCTGACTATTTTAACATGAATTGATTTATTACCTATTGCCTGTTTTTATACTTAATTTAGCATCCAGATTAAACTAGTTTTGTCTAATTGACTACATTGTTATTAGCTTTTTTAGTAGAGGGTACAGAACAGGATACCACTTGGTTCCTTTTGTGATAAACAGACCCAGGTTTCCTTTTCCCTTGAGTGTCCACGGACTGGGTCTCAGCTGGGAGGCCAGGCCAGGGCCGGTGGCGGTTTCCCTTTGCTGAAGCACATGGGTGTCTTTAACCTGGTCGAGCAGAGAGTTTATCCCTCACGCGATTAGTGGTGTGCACTCAGCCAAGAGGTGAGACAAAGGGTGGCCGGGAGGGATCCGGGAGAGGGTGGATTGTTTTAGTGAAAAGGGAAGAATCCCCTGATAGGACTCTCAGAGGGCTCCGAGGCCCAGAGAATGGAACACGGCAGGTGAAGTCGGGCTGCACAGGAAACCGAGCCTGCAGACACTTGGCTGGTGGTGGAAGGTTCCTTTCATGTGGCGTCCAGCGTGTCTTGCCAGGGCAGGGGAAGCCACTGAAAGGCACCATGCCGGCCCAGACACCGGGCTTTGGAGGTTTTCCCAAAACAACTTTAAAGTGAGGCTGAATAGGCTTTTCAGTTCACTGTGGTGCAGTGCAGTTATGGCCAGCTCCAAAGGTGTATATGAAAAAATGTCTCCTCTCTGATTTTATTTGTGGAAGGAAGATTTAAAAAAAATTTTAATTACTTTATATTTGAATCATCACATTTTTCCCTCTTCAGAGAATGTTTTTCTCTCTTTTGCTGAACAGTTATTTATTTCATCTAGGTCAAAACCAATCTTATTCCTAATACCCCCCGGTAATATTTTTTCATCTTCTTTCTCTTTTTTAATAGGTAGAAACCTCAACTTTGTGCAATAAAAGATTAATCTTTTCCCCAACAACACAAGGCAAGTGCAGGTTTACCATTTGGACAGCTTAGTAATTTGAACGATCAGAACGCGAGCTCCAGAAGACTGGGGTGTGAGGCAGGATAAGAAAAACTGACCGAGAAACACTGTTTTCTAATGACTTCTAATTTGTGTTATTAGCTGAGTATTTCCTATCTTAAAATACCTTTCAGAACTGTTAAAAATGGTGGTGATACTATCATGATACATTTACACGGTGACAAATGATTAGTGGAAATAGCGTCGTGATCACATTATACAAGGTATAAAAATGTCAAACCACAATATGGTACACCTGAAACCAATGTAACTAATATAATACTGTAAATCAACTATACTTAAAAAGTAAAATAAAGTGAAATATTTTTTAAATGTTGGTAATAACCAGAAGGAATTTTATTCAAAGCGGTAGCATTTGCTGGAAATAGGATTATGTGTTCTGGCCCATAAAATGCTATTCTTTTTTTTCAGAGATAGTTTAAATAATCTTAAATTTGATGTCTATAAATCATCTTACATTATTTGTAGGCAGCCAGGGACACTGGATCAGATGTTCAATTGCACCAGATTTTCACTCGTCTTAAGGGCCTGGTGTGGCACAGGTCCAAAGATCAAATATCACCTCTGCCTAAGAGCTCCTACGTAATTTGAAAACAATTTTTACAGTGCTCTTACAATACACACACACCTATGTCACTGCATGGATGACTAAAGAATTCTGGTTTTGTTTGTCAGATAATCTCTGATTATAAACTAAAGAGTGGCTCCCACTTTTATGGCCCTGCCTTTGAGCTTGAGTGGCTCACATGCTGCGGGAAATGGTGGTAGCTTGCCAACTCATTAGTAAGGTCAGTTTTCTAGGAGATATAGTTACAAAATACAGGCCCCTCTCTCGTCAGCAGAGAGTTTCAGTGGCAAAGTCAAGGTGACAAGACTTGAAATATTTATTACTTTTAAAGGCACCTACCCTTCACCAGCAACCCGGACACCAGACCTTTATGAACAAAGAGAACTGATATGGTCAGAGTCACGAAGACCTTCTCTCTGAAAGCAGACTTTCTAAAATGCACACAATGCAAAACCAGATGATGCATTATAGAATTATACACTTGAAACTTATATAATCTTATTAACCAGTGTCACCCCCATAAGTTTAATAAAATTAAAAAAAATAAAAGGTATCATTTCTGAAGCTATATTAGAGCTATCCACTCATTTTCTCTCTTACTCTAATTATCTTTTTACCTTAGATCAAATTAAACACCTGCATGACTGTCTTTTGTTCAGATACTTTCATATCAATAACACTTTGTACTTCGCACTGCTTTGCCTAAGACCCATCTGGATGTTCTGTAGAGAATGCATCCGATGCAGTTTTATTTTTAATGATCTAGGTACCTATATAGCATGACAACCAGTAATACAAGGATCTCATTGAGGTAGAATGCTCAAGTAAAAGGCTAATTACTTTTCTGATAAAAGCATTTTTTGTTTCTTGCCTTTATTCATTCAACTATAGGGGGGTACATATTTAATATTTGTGGTTGATAAGGATGACACTGTGAAAGTTAAATAATATATTTAAAGCGTTAGCATAAGAGATGTAGCAAGACATTAAGAGTAAAATAATGTTTTGAAGTCATAAAGGAAAAATATCATTATAGGCCAGAGTGGTAAGAGAGGGCTTTGGGAAGACTGGGATTTTCGTTCATTCATGAAAAGTTGATTGAGAGCTTACTACGTTCCTGGAGCCTCTCTGGGTACTGGGCATACAGCAGTGGACAAGACTGACCAGTTCTCTGCTCTCACAGTGCTTACCTTCTGGTGGGAGAAGATGATTTTTTTTTATCTACTGGATAAGAACTATCTGATCATGGCCCTGCAGAACTTTAATATAGGGAGCTATGATAGAACTCTCAAGAGGGTATTTTAAGTTGTTGGTCAACATAGGCTGCTTTGAGGGTGTGATGTTTAAGCTGAGACCCGGATGAGAGGGAACCAGCCCTGGTGATCTGGGCACACCAGGCAGAGGGGGGGTGCTGCCCATGCCCTAAGGCCCAGAGGAGCTCAGGGCGTTAGAGGAACAAAAGTTGAGATCAGAAAGGTTGGGAGGACCAAATCATGTAGGACTTTTTTTTTTAATGAAGAGTTTGGATTAAGTGCCAATTGCAGTGTGAGCCATGGACGGGCTCTTAGCAAAGGAGGGCCATGAGCTGGTTTATGTTTTAAATTTTCATTCTGGTCACTGTGTAAAGTATGGATTTAAGGATGGCAAGAACAGAAGCAGGGATACACATTAGGGAGCGGCTATGAAGTCTAAGCAAGAAATTATATAGTATCTTTTCCAAGGAGGATGGTAGCGAGAATGGGGTGAAATGAATAGATTTGGGATATGTTTTGTGTATAGATCCTATAGGACTTGCTAATGGGTTTGAAATGGGATGCGAGGGAAATAGAAATCGATGATTGTAGTTTTCTGGCTTAAAAAACTGGATAAATGATGGTGAACTTTGAAGAAAGAATAGGATTTGGAGGGGGGAAAAAGTCAATGTTTCCAACAACAGGGAACATCAAATTCTATTCAATAAATTAAAAACATTGTAAATGTATAGTATTTTTCTCTGTGATGTTAGGAGAGAAAGTAAACCAGGAAGGTTAGGGAAATGAAGAAAGAGTGGAAAATAGAAACAAGAGGAATAAGCAAGTCAGAGAAAGACACAGAGATGGAGAGATACCGAAAGAAAAGTCAGACAAAACAGACACTCAACATTGGGATACAGAGGACATGCACACAGACGGTGTTCTCCTGCATTCCACAGAGAACTCCGGAGAGATGCTGGAGGCAGCTGTAAGGAGGTCAGAACATTTTTTCTTTATTGTAATTAACTGTGGAAGTGATACCAAGAGATCAACCAAAGGCAAATGAGATAAAATCTTTTTCATAAGTAGGAAAATCATCTTTATTTCATTTGGTTACCAGTGAACAGGACTGTACCTTGAAAGGTTTCCAGGATTAGTTTTTTCAGTTTGTTATTAGCTAAGCAATAGGTTCAATAATGACCTGAAAATATATCAGTAGCAGTACAGTTACTCATTTTGTAAAAAAAAGGCTCTCAAAAGTGGTCTTTCTCCTTAATGGAAAGAGTGGAAAACTAACTGTCCATCAGTAGATTAAGTTGAGCTGCAGGAATACACACATGAACAAATACACAACAAATATATACATACATTCTTAAAAGTTGGTTATTGGTTAAAAATGTGATTACTAGAAATCCATAAAAACCTACCAATGGATCAATTCAACAGGGAGATATATGGAACAAGTCTTTAGATAAATGTATTATTGGAAGACCAAGAAGAATGGCAGGTGTACTATAGGAGGAGGTACATTATTGGGATCTCCACCATGCTTCACCCCAAAAGGCCAGTGAAACTCTAGCACAAATAATAAAAATAATTTTTAAACAATCACTGAGAAAGTTTAAGAGCTATGGAACTACATTGGGCTGAAAAGTCAGGACCTACATTTGTCTGAGGATTTTTCTTTTTATCCCCTCTCCTCCCTCCCTCTTTTCCTCCTTTTCTTTTTTAAAATTTATTTTTATTGTTGACACTATTACAGATGTCCCCCATCCCCATTTTCCCCCTTTTTGCCCATCTCTTCCTAGTCTTCCCTCCCTCCCTCCCTCCCTCCCTCCCTCCCTCCCTCCCTCCCTCCCTTCCTTCCTTCCTTTCTTCCTTCCTTCCTTCCTTCCTTCCTTCCTTCCTTCCTTCCTTCCTTCCTTCCTTCCTGAATTCTTATATAATATTTCCTTAAGAGGATATGGAAAGAACACTTAAGACATCACACCTTGGTTCTGCTATTTATGATTATGTCCTAGTATTTCTGTGAAAAACTAGATTAGATTTCTAAAATCTATTTTAATTTAACATTCTAAAATAATTCTTAATATGAAATCTGCATTGTCTTCTTGTCCCGGCTTCTGGCCTTTTAGGATATTTATGATGGTGTTCATAACACTGTTACCCGTCAGGGTCAGCCTCTGCCGGCTCCAGGACAGACCGGGGCCATGGGCACTGAGAAATGTCTGAGGAGATGACTGGGGATGAGTTGTGATTTATAAAGACAGAAAAATCATTGCTACTCTTTCCTGGTGAGTGATAGTAGCTGCCACAAGAGCAGAGGTTTGTGAATGCTCCTTCAGGGCAGCGCGCTCGAACGGAAAACTGGCCCGGTCAGCTGGCGAATTTTATGCAGGAAGTATTACCGGTTGAGTTTTCCTTGGAGGTTTCAAGGTGAGTTTTGATGATTACATTTAACTTCATCAAAGGTTAGGCGAATGGATTACATAAGAAAGTGTTTTAAATTGTAAAAGAGAAACATTTGACCTGGATTACCACTTACCCACATGAAAGGGTCTTTCAGGCACAGCCTCCGCAGGTGGTGCCTGGAGGCGCCCGCAGCTGCAGGTCGGTTCTGCTTTGTGGGAAGTGGGTGCTAGGCTGGGACAAATCACTCCCTGACTTACCTGGCTGCAGACATTCTTTTCCAGGTGACGATTAGATTTCAGGAGGCACTTTAAGAGGAGTAGAAAGGGAGAGTTAGAGATCCAGGGGTGGGAAACCTTTTTTCTGCCAAGGGCCATTTGGATATATTATATTATATTATATTAATATGTATGTATAATTAATACATAATATTAAATATTATAACATCATTTGTGGGCTGTACAAAATTACCAACTTGAAAATTAGCCTGCTGTGTGTGGTCAGGCTAATTTGGTGAGACGTGTGATGTTAGCTGGTATGGATTTCGTGGGCCTTATATGGCCCGTGGGCTCATCACTAAATGTTTTTTCCCCATTTCATGTTACTGTAAAAAATATTAGTAGAATCTTTAAAGTTTATTTTTATGGCTCTCTCAGAAACCGTAAAGACTCCTCTTTTTTGTTTTTGACCTCCAAGTGAGAATTGCTGCAAGTCTGTGTTTGGCTGACAGTCATCAGCACTGAGTAGTGGTTGGGAGAGCGCCCTGGACTTGAGCCAAGGAAATGGATTCTTGTGTGAGGTTCCCCCCCCAAAAAACACACCCGCTGACCAGGTGTGTGGCCTCAAGAAAGCCTCTGTCCTTCTGGTCACCAGTGTCTTCATCTGTACCAGGGGTCAGAATGGACCAGAAAGGAAGTGTTTTGGACTTCCCGGGACACGTATGGTCTCTGTTGAATATTCTGCATTGGTTTTACATGTTTGTTATGACCCTTAAGAAGTAGAGAAACAATTCTTAGTTCCTGGGCCTCACAGATGCAGGTGTGGGCTGGATTTAGCCCCCTTGCCTTATTTGATGACCTCTGATCTTCATAACAGAAAAGGAGAGAAAAACGGTAAAAAGGGGGAGTTTGAACCGACAGTCTTTAGATATAAGACTCTGACGTGTTCTCTGAGGCAAGGGTTTTGTTTGCTTGTCTGTGTTTTGTTTTATTTCGAATATTACATATTTGTGATAGTTTCTCTTTGTAATTTCCTGGGTTTTAAGTTTGATTTCACTCGTATCTCCTGTTCTTCTGCAACTCTCCGCATACTGCTGCTTACCAATCCCAGCACGCCCCTGACTTCTCATTGAGACCAAGGCCAGGAGACGCACGGGAGAGGAATGGCTTTCTTTACCGAGGGGGATGTGACCTTTCACTTACAAAAAGGGAAACAGCCATTATATAGCCCTAGAGGCCTAAGCAAAGACATGGTTATTCAGCAGGCAGACCCCAGCAACTCTGCATTCAGAGAGGGAGCGGGGCTGGCCGAGGGAGGTGGGCGTGAACGGTAAGACGCCTCAGTCTTTCCTTTCCGATGGTGCTGAATCCTGTTATCCACACTGAACCAGCGGCCCCAAGTTCTACCCAAGAGTCTCCTTAGCCGACATTGGAATGTGCCAGCATTTTGGTTTCCTGGAGGACAAGACCCGTACAGGTCGCTGTGGACCACACACCCCAAATTCCCCTTTCTCCTTTCCCCCCAGGGGTACACCGCATCCTGTGCCCTCCTGTGCTCCTCCTCACTGGCTTCCAGGGCCGGCAGGGACGGTCCATCCGCGGCGCTTTCCAGCACTGCCCGGTGGGTTTCTTACCTTGTCCCACCGTTCCTGTTGGCAGATTGGCCTGGACCCTGTTAAATTCATGGGGTCTGATTATGGGCTCTGGGGCTTTGCTTCCAGAACCACGTTGACACTTCCCTTCTGTCCTCAGACAGGCACTTGGCAAGAGGAGCCCGAACTCTGCCGTTTCTCCCACTGTTCACTTCCCCACCACAGGAGTCGGTAGTGGCCTTCTCCACTCCACAGAAATGCTGTTTTCCTTTTTTCATTTTGAAAGGGTCACTCATGATTTTGTTATTAGTAAATGGAACGGACACATTTTCATTCCCTTCCTACTGAATGTCTTTGTTGTGGACACTGTTGGCCACCGATGCACTGAAATGCTTTATTCCCGGGCTCCTTGGGTCCTTCTCCTGCTCCTCCTTGTGTCCTCTCCTCCCTGGGCTCACCCTCTGTCCACCGCTTTTCCAAATCCCTCTTCTCCTACGTGCTCTTGGAGCTGGTTTCATTCATTCTTGAGGTGTCGACTGCCCCCTCTGCATTTGTGGTGCCAGACGTGCCCCTCCGTCCTCACTTTCCTCCTAGCTTCACACTCCTTCACCCGGATGCTGCTGGACCACTGCTTGGCTGCCCCCCGACGTCACAGAATCCAGCACACGCAGAACTGGCCTCAGTGCTTCCCTCCCACAACCTGAAGTCCCTCTTTCCGCAGCTGTCACCCAAGTCACCAGGCCCGATGCGTGAACATCTTCCTACCTCGACCGTTCTCCATCGTCCACCCCCGCCCCGCCCATTCCCTTTCTCTCATAACTGCTTCTCTTCTGTACCCCTCCTCTGCTACCATATCCTCCTCTGCTACCATATCCTTTTTTAAAATTTATTTTTCAATTACAGTTTCCATTCAGTATTAGTCTGTATTAGTCTCAGATGTACACTCTGCTAACACATCATTCATTCAGGCCCTCGTCACCTCATCACCCCTCTCCACTTTTTCTCCAGCTCTGTCCTTCATAAATCCATCCTCCCCTCTGTATTTAAAATTCAAACCTGCTACATGTCACAGACCTTCACATTCTTCAGTAGCAACCTGTCACTTCCAGCATAAGACCCGAAGCCTTAGTGTGCCTACATGTCTCTCTGTGGTCTGGCCCTGCCCCTCCCCAGACCCGCTTCTTGACCTCCTTTGTCCACCTGACCTTCTAGTAGTACCATGTTCTTGAGCTCCTGGCGTGGTCCATGCTCTTACATGTTTCCATGCCTTTCCCTGTGCTGGCCCTTTGGTCCTGGCTCACTCCACATGTGCTTCAATCCCCGCTCAGATTTGCTCTCACACATTGTGCCTCCCTCTCTCTTACCACTTTTGTGGAAGTTTTTTGTTGACATCTGGCTCCCTTATGGACTGTGCACTCCTCCAACATAGGAATCTTGTTTGCTTCTCATTGATCCCCCAAACCTCCCTCTAATTTAACCCTTGTGGTAAACCTGTGCAGTTGACATTATTATACCCATTCAACAGATGAAAACACGAGAGCTCAAAAGAAGCTGAATAAATACCTTGCTCAATGTTATGTAGCTAGTGTAGCAGCAGAACTGGGATTTTGCCAGTATTTACACCTCTAGTTATATAACCAGAACAAAACAATAACTTGCAGTTTTAAATATAAGGAAACTCACTTTTGCCGAAATGATCTTTTGATCTTTGGAGCAGTAGAAAGAACAATGGATTTGTTGTCGAAGGTCCCAGGTTGGAGTGTTCTTGCAGCGTTTCTAGCTAAACGGATGTGTTCCAAATTACTTATTCTCTCTTAGCCTCTTTCATCTTCCAAATGGGCATAATGAGCACTGCACGAACAGTACACTGCGTGTGGAGGTGCCTGGTAAGGGCTGTACTAATCTAACACCACTTCGTTTCTCTTCTGAGCTGACGTACATGGATACACCTCAGAAACCAGATTCTGGCAACGCATAATAATTTTTTTCACAGTATCATACCTCAGTTTCTTTTCAAACTAGAGATATTTTCCTTTAAGTTGAAGGAATAAATGAACTGATATTTCGTCTCACCAGTAAAGTGCAACCTTTAGAATGCCCTATAAAAGTTTGGGAGTTCAAATGTACATGCCTTGAAAAGTTCAGCCCTTAACTCGAAGTAGGATTTCCTGTGCCAGCTAAATTAGGTCACTTTCTGAGTGAAAGGAGCTTGTGTTGCTCCAGCCACAGGGCTGCTTCTCCTTCCTTTTGTTGAGCTGTAAACACGATGCTTCCCTGTCCCTCAGGGCTCTGTTGCTGCTTTTGTTACTCGAGGGTTCACTTTGCAGATTTTTTTTCTGAGCCCTATCACTTTCCTTGATAGAACAGCTACTGTTCAGTTGCCACCTATGGGCATTACTTCCCAGAGGGGCCTAGCTGTGTGTGCACAGGAATCATCGGACAAAGTGGATTTGGTAAGGGTGTGTTGGCATTTCGAGGTGTGCAGTACTGGATCCCCAGCTGAAGTCTCCGGGTGCCTTCCTATAAAGGAGGCTGATGGAGTTCCAGTCTATCATTAATGTATAAAAAGTTTTTGATGATGACAACTTTTACATTTATTGTATGTCTTTACCTTAAATTTTCATTGTAAAATGGTTTCATTTATTTAACAGAAATATGTTGAAGGGCATCTGTATACCAGGAACTACCCCCCTGTGAGAAGATAGAACAGAGGCCGAGAGAGACATATTCTGCCTTTCGTGAGCTTATTATGGCTTAATCTGAAAAGTAAACTTCAAATAGGTAGTTATACTCACGTGTGAGGAATATGATGAAACAGAAAATGCAGGGCTTAGTGAGCCATAATGGACTGCAGTGGGGTCCTTTGCCTGGCACCCCTTTTCTAGGAATCACCCCTTACACCTAGTTATCCACATGGTTATTGTTTGTACAAATTGAACCAACGCTGGGGTCGCAGCTGAATGGTTCAAAGATGAGCACCTGTCCAAATTCCAGGAATTTTTAAACTGGAGCAGAGGCAGGAAGGCCAGGGAATTTCTGGGTGTCTAAACAGTAATATGAAAGCATGGGTGGTTTTAGGGTCACCATGAGGCCTGGAGCAGGGGAAGAAGCCATAGAAAGAGAATGGGAGGAAATGAATTCGATACTCAGAGGTATGGATACCAGAGATGGAGAGAAAGTTCTGGCAGCGTTAGTTAGAGTTCTTCATGAGACCCAAGCAGAATCTTTGCAATGCATTTCCATTTTCTTTCTTTCTTTTTGCTTAAGGTAGTTTAGGTAGAGTTTCTATTGTGTGACCTCAGAGCAGTTTTTCCTAATACAGGCAGGTATAGCCCAGGGACCCAGCCTGAATTAAGGAATCAGGGAAAGTCGTAACATTTTTACACCATGTTGTATTGTTGGTCAGAACCCCTGGACAGCCCAGGAATGATCACTGAACCCACAGTGTAGCTGGAATTGATTTCTGTGTCTCCTTAGAATGGATTCGTCCATTCATATTGAAGGCCTGCTGTGTTTCTGGGTCGTACTAGGCACCGGGGAAGTGAAGTGACTACATGTGCCGGGCCTTTGAGGAGCACCTGCCTGCTGCTAACCCACTACACTGTCACATGCTCTGTTATTTCTTTCTAGGTTTCAGTTACATTATGAGTTACATGGACTTTGGGGGTTGAGTCTGGGAAACTAAGTTCTGTATGACATTGTTTCTGTGGCAAATGCATTTCCTAGTTGGTAGAGAGGAGAATTTTTGCCCTTTGGCTGTAGTAATTTATTCATACAACAAACATTCTTTGAATACCTTCTGTACATTTCAGGCACTGTGTGAAGCGTTGGAAACAGTGGTGAAAGCTACAGAAAAGGCTCTGTTGTCACGGAGCTCACATTTTAGGTGGGAAAGATGGGCCATAAACAGTGAACAAATAAATGAACAGATGATTTAGTTAAGGATATGTGCCATGAAGAAAATAAAAGGATGGTGTGGAGGAAAGTGACTGGGCGTGGGGTGTTTCCGGGGTCAGGGAAGGCGTCACTGCAGAGGGAACTTTTCAGGTGAGGTGTACCTGACCCGGGCAAAGAAAGAAATATGGTGCCTTTGCTTATGGGAGTCACCAGATATCGACCTGCACTGTCCCAGTACCAGGGCCAGTAACTAGAGTGGCAACTGAGCACTAAAGGTGGACACTCAAAAAAAAAAAAAAAAAAAAGTGAGTAAAAATGTTCAATAGGCCCGGAGTGGCTCAGTGGATTGAGCGTCGGCCCGTGGACTGAGAGGTCCCGGTTCAGTACCCAGTCGGAGCACGTGCCCGGGTTGTGGGCTCGATGCCCAGTAGGGGGCGTGTGGGCAGCAGCCGATTGATGTTTCTCCTTCACATCAATGTTTCTCTCTCTCTCTAAAAAATTAATAAAAACATATATTTAAAAAAGTTTAATAGTTTTTATGTTGATTATACAATGCATTGATAATATTTCATTATGTTGGTTATATAATTATATGTTTTTAAACTCTAGTTTCTTTTTACTTTTTTAATGTGACTACTAGAAAATTCAAAATCACAGCTGTGACTCGTGGTATGTTTCTGTTGGATAGTGCTGGTGTAGATGAGTTAGCCTGCGGTGGACTCAGACTGATGGGGTCAGAGTTCTTATTGGGGCTTTGTTGTCGTTTCTGTGTTTGTCTTACTATGGACAGTTTAACTCTCCTCAGTTATTATTATTTTTTCTCATCATCCAGCGGGGGCTAATCCTACTTGTAGGGTTGTTTTGAGGATTAAATCAGGTCTGGAAGTGCTTGTCGTGTGCTAGGTACTGGAAAACCACGCTGTCATTTAGAAACATGAGTCCCTTCCCCCACTTCCTATGTGACATAAATGTCATGCCTGGGCCTGGCCGGTGTGGCTCAGTGGTTGAGTGTCGACCCATGCATCAAGAGGTTGCTGGTTCGATTGCCAGTCAGGGCACATGCCCAGGTTGTGGGCCAAATCCCCAGTGGGGGGCGGCATGCAGGAGGCAGCCAGTCGACAGACGTTCTCTCTCATCAATGTTTCTGTCTCTCTCCCTCTCCCTTCCTCTCTTTCTCAAATTAATAAAGGAAAAAAATGTTTTTAAAATGTCATGCCTGGGAATATATTTGGAACTCAGAGAGTGACTGTGTTGAGAAATTGCTGTGCAGGTTTATGTCACTATATTAATTTGCATTTTTGCATTATTATTTTCAAGCGAGATTTTTTTTAAATACATTTTTATTGATTTTTTTTAGAGAGAGAGGGAGGGAGAGAGAGAGAGACAGAAACATTGATGTGAGAGAGAAGCATCATCTGGCCGCCTCCTGCATTGCCCCCAACTGGGGACCGAGCCAGCAACCCGGGCACGTGCCCTACCTGGGAATCAAACCAGGACCTCTCAGACCAAGGGACTGATGCTCAATCCACTGAGCCATGCCGGCCGGGCTCAAGTGAGATTTTTGAGGTCTTTGTCGTAAGATGAAAATAATTATTCCCACTTTACAAGTAAAGAGATTACGTTATATCCAGAGTGGCCCTGTAGAGTTCCCTCTGCGTAGAACCTGACCTCATGCCTTCTGCCTGCAGGCTGACTTCCCTTCCCTTAAATGCTGTTGTCTTTCTCCACAGGTAGGTGAGTTCTTCCACTGGAAGCCCTGAACAGGAATTCTGGTGCCAGGTTCCATGCCAAAATAACTGATGCCTTATCTCCTGAATGTTTCTGATACCCTTGTTTTACAAAAGTGACAATATCAGAGTCCTGAAGACCTTGTTTATGCTTTAAGAAATTAGGTAATTAGAGGCCCTCTGGCCCAAGGCCATTTCAGATAGTGATTGGTTGGCAGAAAACACTGATGCCTTTTACTTTGGCAGAAACACAAAGGTCTTTTCTTCTGAGGCGGTCTCTGTTTCCTTGTCTGTGATGTATGCACCGTGGCTGGCAGTTCCTGGGCTCCAGCTGGGACACTGGCAGTCATGACGATCTGGTTTGAATAAGGAAACCTGAAAATCTTTGGAGGCCTGAATTTGGCTCCATGTGCGGAGGCTCACTCACCAGAAGTTGATTTTATAGCATGGAGAAGTTTGCTTAAGTTTTAATTCAACTCAAAGTGTCTTCCTTGAGTCTAATGTTGGAAAATGGTTTGCTGTTCTATGAAATAGCTGTGGGATTTTGGAGTTGAATTTGAAAGAAAACTATTCGAAATATAATGAAAGCTGGGTTGGTTTCCATGTGTCTTTTCTTCCAAGAACTACTTGTTTCTTTTGAATCCTGTATTTGAAGACTGTACGCCTTTTTCTCTAATAAGTCATAATAATGTTTGAGACTCTACTCCATTGGCTACTAAAGTCGTTTAGTTGGAAATGTAGGCATAGGACAATATAGAAGGAATCTGTATAATGACATACACATATATTTGTTTATACGTATTCCATAGTTCCATTTACATTTATCTATGTACATTATCAGAATTATCTATCAGAAATCTTAAAATTACACTTCTTGTAATTAAAGCAAAGCAATGCAATTTATTTTGTATACCAATTTATACATCCACCAGAAAAGTATGAGAGTTATAATATATCAACATCCTTACCACCACTCACTATTTGCAGCTCAATTTTTGTCCATTTTATTTCTATAAAATGGTATTTCGTGGTTGTTTTAATCTGTGTTTTCTGGTCAGCAGTGTGGCTGGCATCTTTCCTCAGGATTATTGACCCGTTGAACCTCCTCTTCTGTGAACTGCCCCCTCAATGTTGCCCATTATTTAATTGCTGTGTTTTTGTCTTTTTCTTTTCAATTTCAAGGAAGTGTTTATATAGTTTGGATCTTCTCTTCATCTGTTCCTTGTTTTAGCATTATTTATGTTGTCTTGAGTCAGGAAGAAATAAGGAAAGTTATTAATTCCTTCCTTTATGATTTGTACTCCCCCCCCCCCCTATTTTTAATCTTCACCTGAAGATGACTCTTCTGTCTGAGAAGTTTCCGTCTGAGCCATTGGAAGGATGGAATTGCTATTTGTTATCATGGGGAGATGAGGAAGGAGCAGGTGTGGAGAGGAAGATCAGAGGTTGGCTTTGGACATACTAAGTTTGAGAGTTAAGTATTCAGGCAGAGACGCAGAAGAAGCAGGGGATCATACGAGGCTGGAGTTCAGGGCAGAGGCCTGGGTAGGAAATAGACATGTGGGAAACACAGCATATAGTTAGTATTTAAAGCTATGAGACTGGATGAAGTTACCCAGAAAGTGAGTACTAATCATGAAAAGAAGAGGCTCAAGGACTGATCTCGGCGGCGCTTCTGTCTCTAGAGGCTTGAGCCTCAGCGGAGACTGAGAGTCTCCCGTGAGGCAGTGGTGATGGCGAAGTTCTGGAGCCAAGAGAAGACAGTGTTTCAAGAAAGGAAGAAGAATCCCCAGTCTCCGATGTGCGGAGGTCAGGAGGATGAGGACTGAGAACTGGCCGTTGGATTTACCCGTATGAAGGTCATCAGTGACACGGACAAGAGCAGTTCGGTGGAGTGGTAATGGTGACAGACTGATCAGAATGGATTTAAAGGATAATAGAAAGGGTTGAATTGGAGGCAGCACACAAAGATGACTTTTTGAGTGTTGTTGTAATGTAGAGTAGAGAAATGGAACAGCAGCTATAGAGGAAAACAAGGGTCAAGTGTTTTTTGTTTGTTTTAAGATGGGAAATATAGCATGTTTCGGTGCTCCCGTATCCACCCATGGATGCTGAAGTAGAGTGGGGAATTAGTGGTACAGGAGAAACGGGGAGAATTGCTGGAGCCTTCGTTCCACTTGAGTGGATAGGAGTGGGTGGGACTTGGTGCACACAGTGGAAGGGTTGGCCTTCAGGAAGTAGACCTCCACAGTAATAGGAGGGAAGAGAGTACCGTACGTGGGCCCAGCCACAGGCAGATGAGTCGATGCAGTGTGAAGGCTTTGGAGGTCTCTCTGATTGCTGTTCCATTAGCTGAGAGCGAGGGTGTGGGAGGCCGTGCCGGAGGTTTGAGGACAGAGGGGCAAGGTATGGAACAGTTGTTCAGGACAGTGGAACAAGGGATAATATGGTCATATATATTAGGATTGTCTGACCACACTAGGGGCTCTGCTGCTTGAGGTTCATGATCTGAATTAAAAATGTGACCAGTTAGTCTAGTTGTGTGTGTTTCTCTAGCCAAGTTAAAAAACATTCGTGCTGTTGTGGAAGAGGTAAGGACTGGGTTTAGTTAGGGTTAGTGTTTTGATAGGTGAATAGGATGAAATGAGAAGAGGGGCTGGGGAGGTGAAGTGATTATGCTGTTGGACCTAGATCGAAGCTGGCTAAGAAGAAATTCGAGGACAAGAACACAGTGAGTGATGGAGGAAAACAGTATAGATTAATGGCTTACAGATAGTGGGGTCAAGGAATTGTTAGACAGAGATACGTGGAGGGGGAAAAGGAAGAGATAGAGAATTGGATGGAGGAGTTGTTGATAATTTTAGAGAAGTGGCATTTTCACTTTTGATCTGATTTTTAGTTGGTAATTATTTTAAAGAATTATCTTTGTTGCCCTGGCCGGTTTGGCTCAGCAGTTAGAGCGTCAGCCCACGGACCAGAGAGTCTCAGGTTCAGTTCCCACTAAGGGCACGTACCTCCGTTGCAGTTTGTCCCCAGCCCTGGTTGGGGTCGTGTGGGTGGCAGCCACTCGATGTGTCTCTCTCCCATTGATGTTTCTCTCATCTTCCCTCTCTCCCTCCTGCTCTATCTGAAGATAAATGCAAAATGCAAAAAAAAAAAAAAAAAAAAAAAATGTCCTCCGGTGAGGATAAAAAAAAAAGAACCAACACACATTTCTCTAAAGGAACTCTGAAATGGAAAAAAAAATTTCTAAGTATGTTTAGTTTTCAAAAATAGTTTTTAAAACCATAAATGCCTTGCTGTGTTTTGCTGGTCTTTTAAAATATTTTTCAAAATGCCTTTGGCAAATCCAATGAATTTAGACTTTCCGGCTTGGAGCTCTGGTGCTTTGCACACTGACATGATGAGGGTTTCACTGCAGCACCTGAGAGGATGCGGTGAACTTACTTCTGAAATGGAAGTAAAGTAGCTGTCGTGTAAAACACAGTGTGAAATCGTGAAGGGCTTAGGTTTTTCTGGCGGAGCAGTGTGTTAGTAGCCGCTATGGACAGGTTGTAAAATCTGCCTGCTTTTCAGATTTTCATATGTGAAATTTTGAAAAAAAAAAATAAAATAAAATGAAGTTTTTTATTTTCACATAGGATGACTTAAGCTTAATGTTAACTCCTTATATATGCATATACGTATGCTGCTTTGGTAAAAAATGTAAGTAAATATTTTTATAGTTGTGGGAAATTCTAGAAAGTGTGATCAACTTTAAAAATAATATTGAGCCCTGGCTGATTTGGCTCAGTGGTTGGAGCGTTGGCCTGTGGTCCAGAGAGACCTGGGTTCGGGTTCCGCTAAGGGCACATACCTCAGTTGCAGTTTGTCCCCGGTCCTGGTTGGGTTGTGTGGGTGGCAACCACTCGATGTGTCCATTTCACATCGATGTTTCTCTCTCTCTCTCTAAAGAAATCAATAAAAAACATTAAAAAAAATAAGAATAATATTAACACTAGACTTATTCTGACTTTTTAAAGACTAATTTTAGTTGTTGCTGACTTAGAGCATGATTGCTTCACTTTAAATAACTGATATAATTAACACTTCTTCCACTTAACTAATAATAAGAATTTGAGGTGTCAACGGGATAATTTCCAGGAGTCAACAACTTGTTTCCCAGGAGACATCCATGTCTAAACTTGACCCTGCCACCAGCAGCTATACTTAAGCAAGGTAAACAGCATGAACTCTGCTGAATTCCTGAGTGTCAATTACATTAGAAACAGCATTTGCGTAGACTTGGTGACTGTTCATTGAGGAAGGAGGGCTCTTTAGTTTCACTTGAAGGTATAGGAATCATCAAAGTCTGTTTCAAGAACTTGGACCGACATCTTTGAGGAGTATTGTAGGCACCGTTAGAGTCAACATGGAAGACTTTGGGCAGGCTGGACTTGTACCTGTCTGCTGGTGACTACCTTATTCAAGTCCATACCGTTTTCAGGGATAGGATCTGACATTAGTATTTGATGTTCTCTGTTTCTTCTGATGCCTTCATTTAGCAAATGAGGTTGGATCTTACAAATACCTGTGCTTTTGGGACATGCCCTGATGATGTACTCACCTGCCTTTGGTGAAAGGTATGACTTGGCCCAAACCACAAGTTTCCCCAACTTAAAAATAGACGTGTCTCTGGCTTAAGGAATAATAGTATCTGTCAGCTGCCCACACAGGGCATTTGGGTTTTGGCATATTGACTGTTCCAAAATGGCCAGTTTCCATGATTCCCAGTGTCCTTTGATGGTTTTGCCCTAATGAGACCTGGCTCCCTTTCCTCTGACTTACAGGCTCAAGAAAGGCAGCTCTGTGTGGGTTAGCAGACACTGGGACTTCCGCAGGCCAAGCCGACAGGGTTCGATTTGTCACTCACTGGGCTAAATTGAGTGAGTAGCAGGCTGGAAGCGGGACAGGCCGGCCAGCTGTACATCTCACAATACCGTATGTGTTGCTGCGGGCTGACTCGGAACGGTGGCGTCTCGATGAGCAGAGCCTGTTGAAATAATGTGCCGGAGAAATCACATACATGTCATTTTTGGCACCAGATGTTAGTCCTTGGAAACCAGTTGTGTGGTGTTTTTCTAACCAGATTACTTCTAGAAAATGAATGAGTTTTTGTTAAAGGAAAAAAAAAACCATCATTATTTAATTTCAACAGCAGAAAGCATTAACCTTGCTGAATAGCATAAATAGCTCAATTGTATCATTGATTCACTCAGTTTTAAGCAGCCCTAGATACAAATTGTCCCTAGGTTAATTATGAAAAAGCATGACATTTTAGTGATAAGAAGTAAACAGTTATATGATTAGAGTGGTTCATAAATTTTAATTAGTAATTAATTCTGCTCCCTCCTTCCACAGTACAAAGATTTAGGGATTTTCTATTGTTATGGGTTGAATTGTGTCCTCACCAAAACTGATATGTTGAAGTCCTACCCCCTTGTATCTCAGTACGTGACTGTACTTGGACACAAGGTCTTCACAGAGGTATCTGAGTTAAAATGAAGTGTTAGGGTGAGCCCACTCCAGTATGACAGGTATCTTTATCAGAAGAGGAAGTTGGACACAGATACACACCGAGGGAAGGTACTGTAAAAACACTGAAAAGATGGCCACCTACACGCCAAGAGAGGGACCTTCAGAAGAAACCAGCACTGCCAACATCTTGATCTTGGACTTCAGCCTACCAAATCGTGAGACAATACCCGTGCTATTTAAGCTTCCCAGATGGGTGGTACTCCATTGTAGAAGCCCTAGCAAGCTAGTACATGAACCAAGTGTGAGCAAGAGAATAAAAAGATAATATTTTATAAATAAATCAGTAAATAAAAGTTTTAAGACCTTCATTTAGATTACATATGAGTTTACCAAGCCATGGATTAGCCCTCTGTGGCCAGTTGCCAGTGAGAGAGGGGATTGCAGCAGAAAATCATGCAATTTTAGGTCTGGAAGGACCTGAGACATCACCTATTGCAGCCTCTTCGGTTATAGAGGAGGAGGCGAGCCTCTTGAGTGCTTAGAGGATTCACCCAGGGGAGGGCTTGTCCAGGGGCTTGTGGTTCCTTATTGGCACATCTACCCCTAGAAACCCGGTCTCTCATTCTCAGGTTTGAGGCAGGGCCCAACCCTTTTCTTTCCAAGGCTGTACCTGTATATAATCAGGTTCTATTGTTTTGGCAAAACAGATTTAGAGAAGCAACCTGTTTTTCTTCCCTCCCTCCTGTCCTTTCTTTTTTTGATGTTAGGAATGTTTTCCACATAAAAAGGCATAATGAATAACATAATAATTACCTGCGCTTCCACCACCCACTTTAAGCTATTAAAATATTACCAACTGAGTTAAAGCCCCTTCCCTGGTCATAGTTCCCTCCCATCCCCCAGAGGTATTACTGTCTTGAATTTGGCGTTTAGCTTTCATATATATTCACACACACACACACATACATTTATATATATATAATACTTTTATTTTAAAATGAATGTATTATCAAATAATATATAGTATCATTGTACACATATTAAACATTATACAAAAGGTATCACATCAACTGTATCTTTCTCAATTTATTTTTATTCCATTCAGTTTTGTTTGAGGTGTATCCTTGTTGCTGTATATATTGCTCCTTTTCATTCATTTCCACTGCTATTTTGTTTTTAATTTTGTGAATATACTACATTTTCCTTTTCTCTTGCTGATATTTAGGCTATTTCTAGTTCAGAATGCTTCTGCTATGAATACTCTTGCACACACACACATTTTCTTGTGCACACGTGTGAAGGTTTAGTCAGGGTCTGCGTCTGTGGGTGGAACAGCTAAGTCACAGGCTGTGTACATTTCAGTCCTTTCGGAACTGCCAGGTTGTCTGCAAAGGGGTCGTGCTATGCGTTCCTGTTGCCCCACACCTGTCAGCAGTGATTCTGTGCCAATCTCAACACACTTTAATTTCCCTAGTTATGAATGTTAGCATCTCCCATGTTTGTTGTCCGCTTGGGTTTTGTTTTTTAAGTGTATTGTTTGTTTGTTTTTTCTAATTAGAGCCCCAGAGCCAGAGTGGACTGAGTGGTCCTAGGGTCACCCCCTTCGCCTTACCAAGGAGCAGATGGGGCTAGAGATATGTGACTAATGGGAGAGCCCAGACAGACACACTCAGTCACGGCGCGACTCCCAGTCCACTCTTTCTACTGTACCACATCATCAGATCTTGCTTTTGGGTAAATTACCTTATTGGGGTTTCTAAGAACAGGGTTCAGGGTGAAACTGACCCATCAGAAGAGTTTTAATTCATGAGTGTGTGAGGATTACATTGTGATTTTGGTATATCTGAATTTTCTGAAAACCCAAACCATCACCGCCTTATTGAAAATCCTCCCAGGTTTCCCATCACTCATTGGAAAGTCAGAACTGCTTAACTCTGCTTGCTGGCTGGGCCCCTCCTGCCTCTCAGACTCTCAGGATCGCGCATGGTCTCCCCCCCAGCCACACTGACAGCGCGCACTTGCCAGCTCTCTCCCTGCCTCCTCTCTGCCTGCAGCTCTCCCTCCAGCCCCTGCCTCAGCTCTCGGCTCCTGCTGTCACTTCCTGGGGAAGCTTCCTGCGCTCTCCTGCTGACTGCATCCCTGCTTGATGTTCACGAGGCCGCCTTCCGCCTTCCGCCTTCCGCCTTCCGCCTTCCGCCTTCCGCCTTCCGCCTTCCGCCTTCCGCCTTCCGCCTTCCGCCTTCCGCCTTCCGCCTTCCGCCTTCCGCCTTCCATCCACCTTCCACCTTCCACCTTCCACCTTCCACCTTCCACCTTCCTTCTTCCACCTTCCATCCACCTTCCACCTTCCACCTTCCACCTTCCACCTTCCACCTTCCTTCCACCTTCCACCTTCCACCTTCCACCTTCCACCTTCCACCTTCACCTTCCACCTTCCACCTTCCACCTTCCACCTTCCACCTTCCTTCCACCTTCCACCTTCCACCTTCCATCCACCTTCCACCTTCCACCTTCCACCTTCCACCTTCAATCCACCTTCCACCTTCCACCTTCCATCCACCTTCCACCTTCCTTCCACCTTCCACCTTCCACCTTCCATCCACCTTCCACCTTCCACCTTCCACCTTCCACCTTCCTTCCACCTTCCACCTTCCACCTTCCACCTTCCACCTTCAATCCACCTTCCACCTTCCACCTTCCACCTTCCACCTTCCACCTTCCACCTTCCTTCCACCTTCCACCTTCCACCTTCCATCCACCTTCCACCTTCCACCTTCAATCCGCCTTCCGCCTTCCGCCTTCCACCTTCCACCTTCCACCTTCCACCTTCCACCTTCCTTCCACCTTCCACCTTCCACCTTCCATCCACCTTCCACCTTCCATCCACCTTCCACCTTCCACCTTCCTTCCACCTTCCACCTTCCACCTTCCACCTTCCACCTTCCTTCCACCTTCCACCTTCCACCTTCCACCTTCCACCGCACTCACCACAGCTGCAAATCTACATGCAGGTGTGTGATTCTTCATTAAGGTCTCTCTTCCCCACCAGCTCGTAAGTCCCATGAAGTCAGGGACTGTGTCTGGTTATTTTATTTATTTATTTATTTATTTATTTATTTATTTTTACTTACCATTCTGTCCCTAACTTTTAGCAGTGTGCCTGACATATGGTTGGAACGCAATAAATATTTGTGGAATGATCAAATGAATAAATGGTCAGTCTTTAAAAAGTTCATCTCACCTAACTCCCTGGAGGCAAAACCGGCTCTAATTGGACTCATCATTTCCTTTTCAGCCTCGCCCTACACTCATTCTTCAGGACAAGAGCTACACCGTGTGGGCTGTATTAGAGACTTACATTCATGGCCCAAAGGGTATGGCAAGGGGATAAGAAGAAGAGGAGACAAAGGAAAAACAGAGGGTTATACATTGGAAGGAAGAGAGCTAGAGTAATAGCTACCTAATTAGGTGGCCCCCAGAATGGGCCATTTGAACCCTCTTTGAGGCTTTCCAGTACAGCTGGCTGGCTGAACTCCAAACCTAGGACAGTTTAGACCGCAATAAGATGGGCCACTTGTAGTGTAGCAGTGGGTATTAGTAACTTAGATCTTATCTAGGCCTTTCCTTCTAGGATTCTGGTGTGAAGAACTCAGAATGAGGGTATATAATCATTACTTTTATTTGCACAAAAACAAATGTGAATTCTGTATATGACTAATCATTATGTTCTATTAATCCTTAAAGAATAATGGAAATCCTGGCATAATCCAAACAGTGAGATTCTTGCTCTTCTTATTGGACTTTTCTATCCTGTGTCTTTTGTAATCTCATAATTGCCTAGGGTAGAAGTAAAGAGGAGACATCCTTAGCTTTTCATGAGCATATCCAGAAGTCTTAAAACATTAAATAGCCATAATTCTTTTTTTAAAATCTTCACCTGAGGACATTTTTTTCATTTTTTTGTTCAGATAGAGTGGGAAGGAGAGGGATGGAGGAAGAGAGAGAGAAACATCAATGTGAGAGAGACATATTGATTGGTTGCCTCCTGCACCACTCCACCCAGGGCCAGGGAAGAACTGCAGCTGAGGTACATGCCCTTGACCAGAATCAAATCCACGAATCATCGGTTTGTGGGCTGGTGCTCTAACCACTGAGCAAACAGGCCATGGCAATAGCCATATGTTATACTTAATTCACTATCAAAAGAAATTCTTAAGTTATCTTTGGATTATTCACTTAGAAATAGGTAGCATGCACACGTTTTCAAGGTGGGTGACAATGAATTGTCACATTTTCTGTTTAGCTTTGGCATCTCTGTCTTGGGCAGGGAGTTAAGAACTTTTTCTACAAGTCTTCATTTTGCCTACAGCCTTGGGAAGTCAGGATTCTCAGTGAAACACGCTCTATGAACTACCTTTTCACTAGAAGAGCAACTGTGATGTTGCATGAATGCTGAGTAAGAACACGGAAGCTAATTAAATAAAACTATCTGCCCCCAAGTAAGTGTAACGTCTTTTGCTGTGAAATAGGAGACATTTGCCTGTACTAGATTATAGAGTTTTCAAATGACTCCTTAAAGTAGTTAAGAGCATCCAATTATTCTGATTTTTGACAAAGTAAAACTAACAAACTCAGTGAGCTTGGGTTGTTTAATGTGGTAGGATTGAAGTGCAAAGTTAAATCTGTTCTAATTTTTAATGAAATTAAGGACCTACCCCATTGGTTGTGTGAGGGTCAGATGAGATAATATAAGTGAGTTTTAGGTTTAGAGCTTGCCTCTCACATAAGCTCTGTGTTAAGTGTTGGCTATTAATTATGTTATTGTTATTACTATTACCTGATGCCTTTCAATATAGCAAACCTATGTTGTCTTTTTCAGTGAAGAGACAGCATCCTTTCCAACCTTTAATACCTTTGTTTTCTATCAAAACCCCTTGAGTCTGCAGATTCTCTAGAATGTAATTCGAAACATGGATTATCTGTTTGTTGGATATTCCTCATGTCTCCCTTCTTTTCATATCATCATCATCATCATCATCATCATCATCATCATCATCATTATTATTTGAGTGGGAGGGGGAGAGAGAGAGAGAGAGGCATTGATGTGAGAGAGACACATCGACTGGTTGCCACCCACAGAACCCCAACCAGGGCCGGGGACAAACCTCAACCGAGGTACGTGCCCTTAGCGGGAACCAAACCAGGTCTCTCTGGTCCAAGGGCTGATGCTCTAACCGCTGAGCCAAACCAGCCAGGGCCTTCTTTCCATTCTTGCTGCTCTGCAAATCCATCCCTGGAAAATCTAATTGCTTCTTTCTGAAGTTTGGACTAGTGTCTCTAAGTCTTCCTTTTTGTGACCTCTAACTTACTTCAGGATTCTTCTTCCAAGCACAGGTGCTTATCCTCATTAAAACCTGCTTTCTGGAACATCGCTGGGTGTGTACTGAGTTACTGGTTACAGCTTGGTCTCCTGTTGAAGGACTTTTAGGCCCAGGTGAAATGGTGCCGAGGGCATTTTTCTGGGGGCAGCGTCCTTTCTGTCAGAGACCTTGATGCAGAGGCCAACTGTCTCTGTAAGTCTGGGCTCCTTGTCTTTTTAAAGCTCTTTATAATCTCATTTGTTCCCAGGCCACACATCTTCAAGCCAAATCCTCACTGTCCTTTAGACTTCTGCAGGAGTTGGGAAAGGCCCTGGGGATCCCCAGAATTATACACCATAAACAGCTGAAAGAGCATGGTAAGAGAAAGAATGAAGTTCATGTCCCAAGAGTAGATCCTACTCTAAAGAATTATAAAACTAAACATTGGAGACTGCTAATGTTTAAAGGCCCTCGTCCTTATTGAAGGAGATTTGTGTTTTTCTTGGCCTTTCTGACACTGTCGATCTGAATAATATATTTGGAAAGTTCCAAGGCTGGCAAGATTGATTTATTCCCATCTGCAAACCTTTTCAGTGTCAGTTGTGTGGAAATTTTCTCATCAGCCATAAGAAAGCTGTTTTATAGTCAGAGCAGGTCACATAGTTCCCTAAAGCAAATAGCAGGCTGGCTTATCTGAATGTGGTGAAGGAAATCGTTATTCTTCTTTCCTTTTTTTTTTTTCTTGGTTGCTCTGTAATAGCTTGGACTTTAATAATCAGATCTCATTTATCTCATACAAGAACCTAATAAGAATATTTAATAAGCACTATTGAACTGTGATGGTTGTCCTGTTGGAAATGCACAACCATAAAAGCACGAGGCATATTTAAGGCCAAGCTCTATGTTTTCACACTATGCTATGCAACTTTAAGGTACCAGATAGTGCCTTGGAAGGCACCAGAAGTAGTTGGTGAAACTTGCTGACCATGCACCATGAACTTCTGATGGAGGCGGTATTGTTAATATTTAAAGAGCATCAGTGCCTAAGTGAGACAGCTTGGGATCATGTCCTGGACCAGCCCCTTGCGTGTGACCTTGAACAAGTTATTTACCCTCTTAGTGCCTCCATTTTTCTTTCTGTATAATGGGGGCAGTGCTGGTACTTACCTTAAAGGTTGTTGTTGGGTTAACAGTGCACTTAGAATAATGTCTGGCACATACATTTTAACTAATATTTCTTTTATGCTCTCTTCTTGTTTTTAACCTGATACTTTCTTCATCTCTTCTTTCCTTCTTTTCAGTTTTCCAACTTGTCAGTTTAATTTTTGGACCTTCCTGGGGCCCACCAGCCCTGGCGGTCCCTTTGTTCTATTCAGGGCCACCTCTTGTAGAGAAATGAGCTTTCCTTTCGATGTACAAACTTTCCAAGTCTGAGCTCCTTCTTCAGATCATTGAACTCAGTTCATTCTACGGAGGGAAAGTGACATACTTTGTGTCCTCCCTGAGATGAGCATCTGCTGCTGGGAGGCAGAAGCATTGGTTCAGATGGAGATGATAGTGTGGCCAAGGGGCTGACACATTTGCATATGAATTCTTTTCTCCTCAGGGAGGTACTGAGTTTTTATCTAAGTTAGGATTCAAATATTAGGCCATTACGAGTTGCTTGCCAACTTTTCAGTCTTATTTGACAAAAGGGACAATAAACATGAACACTGTGTATGTTGATCCCCAGAAAATGTTAGATGGAAGGATGCTGAGAGTCCTGTTGCCCTGGAGAACTACTTATTTTTGAAGTTTTCAGAGGGAAAAAAGTTTTTTGTTTGTTTGTTTGTTTTAGATGCAGTGCATGAAAAACATTAACTAGTTGATCCAGAGCAATGACTTTGGTCAAAATGGGGTATTTAGCTTAGTTGCCTGCCTGCCTTTTTTTCAGTTACAAGGGAAACATAGATTTAAAGTTGAAACCTGGCAGATACCACCTTAACTAAGTGGTGCGAATGAACACCAGTCACAGTACACTAGTACCCAGTACACCAGGGAGGACAGAACATCACAGTTATGTAAAAATACATAGCCTCAGTACAATCATGAGAAAACATCAGACAAATTCAAGTTGAGAGAATATACAAAATACTAATAATTGACCAGTATTCATCCAAAGTGTGAAGGTCATAAAAGGTAAGACTGAGCACCTGTCCCAGATTAGAGGAGATTAAGGAGCCATAACAGCTTAATGCAATGTGAGATCCTGGATTGGATCCTGGAACCGAAAAGGGTCATTAATAACTGGTGAAATTTGAATAAGGTCTGTAGTTTGGCTAATAGTTTATACTAGTGTTAATTTCCTGGTTTTAATAATGGCACTATGGCTATATAAGTTGTTAATATTAGGGAAAGTTGAGCGAAAGGTGTATATGAACTTGGTAAAGTTTTTGCAACTTTCGTGTAAATTTAAAATTGTTTTAAAATTGAATATAAAAAAGGAAGGAGGCCCGGCTGGTGTGGCTCAGTGGTTGAGTGTTGACCCATGCACCAAGATGGTCACTGGTTCAATTTCTGGTCAGGGTACATGCCCAGGTTGTGGGCCCGATCCCCAGTGGGGGGCATGTAGGAGGCAGCCAATTGCTGTTCTCTCTCATCGATGTTTCTACCTCTCTCTCTCCCTTCCTCTCTTTCTAAAATCAATAAAGAAAAAAAATTAATAAAACACCAAGAAAGGAAGGAATTAAACACCATAGGTAAATTTTTAAATATAATACAAAGGTTTGGAAGATAGCAATGAGGAAAACTTTCAGGAAGTAGAGAAAAGAGACAAAGAGAGAAAATATAAGAAAATTAAGACTACAGTACAGGAGGATCGACACCCCAATCACAGGAAATCCACAAAAGAGGAGAAATGGAAGGGAGAAAGTCATCAAGGGACCCAGTCAAGGAAACCACAGAGCTGTAGGACAGGAGTGTCCACGTGGAAACGCCCCATCAAGAACTCAGCATGAAAGGCTCAAGTGGACCCACACAAGAGCTTACTGGTGAGACGTTGCAAAATATGGGATAAAGAGAAGCTTTCAGAGAAAAGGGAGGGAGTAGACAGGTTATATATCCACAGTTAAGAATCAAAATGGTGCCTTGGCTGATGTTGCTCAGTGGTTATAACCTCAGCCCCAAACACAAAAGGGTCACGGGTTCGATTCCTGGTCAAAGGCCTGTACCTGGGTTGTAGGTTTGATTTCCAGCCTTGGTGGGGGTGTGATCAGTCAATGTGTCTCTCTCACATCAATGTTTCTCTCTCTCTCTGTCCTCCCCCACTCCCCTTTCTCCCCTCTCTCTCCCTGCTCCCTCCCTCTCTTCCACTCTCTCTAAAAATCAATGGAAAAAATATCCTTGGGTGAGGATTAATGAAAAAAGTCAAAATGGCATCAAACTTTTTAAGAGCAATGTTGAAAAACATAGACGCAATAAAGCAATAGAAAGAATATAGGAAGAAAATGAAGCAGTG